ATAGTTGCGTAAAAAAGGGAGGAGGGTCCTAAATCAGTGCTTACACACATTTTGGATACCCTCAAATTTTTATTTTTTTTTAAACATCATCACTTCTAACAAAGCTGCAAGCAAACACAATTAGAGTTGGAAGTTACTGAAAGAGAAAGATGAAGTTTATAGAGCAAGATAACAATTGACAGACTAATTAAAAGATTGCAAATTATCTGAATCAGGAAAACAAGAAGAAGGAAGCGAATTCCAAAAAACTGATGTTCAAGGAAAAAAACTAGATAAATAATTTTTTTTTTTTAAATTACCGGTCACAGTAAAATAATGAAATTTAATTGAATGGTGAGTAATACAAGAATGAATTTTAGTGAATGGTACAAGAGACGTTTGCTCTTTAGAGCAATGCCCATTATAGTATTTATAGAAAAGAAAAAAAAGAAGCAACATTACAACAATGTGAAAATGGTTAGAGGTTGGCTGCAAGAGCAGGTCCAATTATGTTTACAATGCATATTTGCACCTTACCTAAAAAAAAAAAAGGCACCATTGGAAAACCATCAGAGATATGTCAACAGTATTCCATACAAGAACAGATTTGAGATTTATAGAAATAAAGAATAGAACCCTAAGAAAGAAAGTGGCAAGCATGATAAAAATCTTAGCAGATATTAATTTTGCAATCAATTTGATATATGGTTTCCAAGAAAGATCAAAAGTAAGAGTAAATCCTAGAAAAAGAAGGGTAGAGGACTCAAAAACATTACTGTTCATAAACACTGGATCTAGATCTAGATCAATGTAATAACGATATAATATCAATGTAATATCGTTATTACATTGATCTAGATCAATGTAATAATGACAATCTGAATAAATTTAGCTTTATTCATGTTAAAATTCACTAGTCACTGTGAGCACCATGCTGTAGTAGAAGTGAGATCTTTTTCAAGCTCAAATGCCCCTTTCAAGCAATCAGAGAGTGTTGGCTTCTTATCATGACAAGAATAAATGGTAGTATCATTAGCCAACAATGTCACCTAAAACATGAGAATATCTGGAAAATCATTAATGTAAATTGAACAGAGTTTAGGGCCAATGATAGAATGTTGAGGAACCCCTGAAGTTTTAGGATATGAAGAAGAGTGCTGTTCATCAAAGCCAACTTTTATATTACGATTGGTTAGGAAGGAATTCATAATCCTAAAGATGTTACCTGATACACTGTATGATTAAAACTTATGGAGAAGACCAGCATGCCAAACTTTATAAAATTTATGTAACATCTATTCAGAAAATATTAGTTTGTAAAAAAAAAGCATTTAACTGAAACTGAAAATTTTTAAAGAAAAAAATTGCTTTATAAAAAAAAAAAAAAGTTTTAAAAGACTTTAAATTAAATATGATTTTAAAATTTTAAATTTAGTTTCAAAAGAATTTAAAATAGTAAAAAGTTGAATCTAAAAGTTTTAAATCAATGTAAAATAGTTTCACAATTTATATTGAAGTTTTTCATTTATAGTCTACTAACTTAAATTCATTACGTAAAACTTAAGTCTTTTCATCATAGGTTTTCATCAAATATGCGAAAGCAAATTAAAATCTTTTTTCTTTATAAAAAAGGAGAAGTGATTTTGTTTAAAAGAATTCTTTTCACAAATATATTTAAATTTTTTTGTTGATTGAACTTTGCATTATATTGATTCAATATCATGCAAAGTTCTTTGATGTAAATTATTATAAAAACAATTTAATAATTGTTTATAAGTTTTATTAAAAATACTACATTAAACAGGTAAACCTAAAATAAATAAATTGTGATAAACAAACAAAAGATTATGTTAGTATAAGATTGTTTTAAAAAATAAATAAGAAGAAATCTTTTTATAATACCGTAAAATCTCCTAAGTTCGGTCACTTAAGCTTTGAACATTTATTTATCATGCATAAATAAAAAATTTGCCATTTTTTCCCCTGAAACATAGAGAAAATTATATTGATAACTAATATTATAAAAATGAAAAAATTAGTACTCCATATTAAAGTTAAAATGAGAACATCTGCTTTGATGGAACTTTCAATACCATCTCATAAGTTCGGCCGCTATATAAATACTAATAACGTATTACAAACTTAACGTCACAAATAATAAAAATTAATTTTTAAACGCTGTTCTATAGTAAAATTATGATATAAATTCATTTAATACCAGTAACTAAGGAGGGCATTGCCCCGGGCTCAAAAAAGTCTTTTGGGGCACCAAAGAAAACAAGAAGAACATAAAAAAAGGCCTTTATAAATATACTAAATATATTCCTTTATTGTAATAAAGTCGCCCAAGAACTTTTATTTTAATTAGTCAACTATTTTATTACTTTGGCCATTATCACATTTGCTACGCCACTGCTTAATAAAATTAAAAAAATTTCGAACTAATTACAATTATTGAGTTTTGCATGCTTTTTTTATATTTTTTCTTAAATGACCGATATAACATGGTGACCGAACTTAGGCAATTTTACAGTACTAAATTTAGATTACAACGTGGTAATTTAAAATACATTCACAATATCAATAGTTTTCAGACTCCTGGAACAAATAATCTCAATAATTACAACACGTTAAAAACAAAGGGATATAAAGTATTTATAAATTGTTTTTTTATTTGTAAATACTTTTTGTTGTGATAAAAGGGTGCCTATTTTTTAAAAAATAAGCGCTTAATTCAAATATATTTATTGTTACATGTCAAATATATTTATTATTATAACTCATATATATATATATATATTGACATGTGCTTTATCTAAAAGTAGAAAAGTTAATGTTATCAATAGTTTAAAATACTAGTTTTATTTACACATTATTATTTTTATTTTACACTTAACCTTTTATATTTTTCAATTATTCATTTATCTAGTTGTTTCTAGTCAACACTTAGTTAAGGAAAAATGAATAGAATATGCAAAAATGAATGCAAAAATTTTTAATAGCAAATGGCGACCAACATTAACAAACTGGTAACTTTCAGTTGTCTTTCTGGAGACCGACCATAAGTCCAAGTGTCATGCCCTGTGATAGACAGTATCACAGGGTATGACAGAGGCATGTTAGCACTTTTGACAAAACTTAAAATTTAATCTAGTTTTTTGTTTAAAAAACAATGCAAATTTTTTGCAAAAATACTTAGTTTAGTTTAAAACAATTCAAAAAAAAATTTTTTAATTTTTAAAATTAATTTATTTTACAAATTATTAAAATTAATTTATTTTAAAAATTTTTAACTAATTTATTTAAAAATACAGAGCGGTGTACAACTTATACCCTTACCAAAAAATTCAAGATCTCACATAAAAATAATTGATCATTTCTTTATAATTCTAAATCTAAATTATTCAACTGCTTTGTACCTACCTTGATTAATATTTAATTTGTAATACAGTCTGGTTTCATTTCACTAATTGATTTAAAATTTTCAAAAAAATGTTGGTAAAAATTATAAACTCATTTCAAATTTGCTTAAAAAAAACTGATGATGTCATCATGATGTAATTTAAACTTATGATTATTTTGTTTTATTGCAAAAATTAGAAATCGAAATATTTGATCTTACTTTCCGAATATTTTCTGATATTAGCAAGAGATATCTTCTTCCAAACATATACAATTGCTTTTTTCAATTTATCTACATCCTTATGCATAAACATATCTTAATAAAATATTTTTGATGAGATATAAATAGGGTGAGAGCCCTGGCCATTCCAATAATTTAATTTTCTTGCTGGTGAACCATGGGATATTTGATTTTGCTCTGTGAATTGGAGCATTATATCGCTAGAAAATAAAATTTTTGTTTCCTAATTATGGTGAAAGATCCTTTAAAAGATCATTCAAAAAATTTTTATATATTTCAGCATTTAATTTTATAATAATAATAAAGCCAATTGTAATTATTTCCAAAAGACCAAACGCACCCTAAATCATTACTCCTCTGCCTCCCATGTCTTTTTTTGAAAATATTTTATCAGGTCATGTCAGTAGTAATTGTTAAAGCCATCTCAACTAGCAAGAACTTTTTTTTCATAGGATCACACAATTATTTTGCTATTTTTCAAGTCATGTGGTCCTTGGCCTATTGAAGACAAATGCTTTTGTGTCCTTTAGTAAGTGCTGAATATGTGCATTTTTTGGTGTATCTGAGAATGCCTTATTTGTTAATTGCATAATTCATCATTTATCGTAAGCATTTCAATCCCAAATCAGCACCAATATATCTTTTAGAGACTGTACGTTTTGCGCAGTAATTTGTTGGATTAATAATCGTTTGCAAACGATTATCCTGTTTGATAAATGCAATGACCTGTAGGATTCACTTTTGCTTTTTTCTCTATCAGAGAGTGTAATTCCTCTTGGTATTCCATAAAATGTATTTGATTGAATAAATTCAATTTGGAAATGAATTTTATAGCTTTTGGTGTAATTTAGATAATAAGGTTATAATTATGCACCACAGTTTTAAACCATTTTATAATTTGAGTTAATTAAAGTGTAAATAGATTAAATTTAAAGTATATTTTTAAAAAAACAAAAAAATGATTTACAAATAGAATTTGATGAACATCCTTTAAAACCTGCTTTCAAAGCTTCTTTACATGTGAGGCTATAAATCTGCACCGCGTATATTCAATATCAAATTAAAAACAGCTTTTACATATGCTGTTTATAAACTTACATAGTAGTAAATTTATATAAAATGGAAACCATCATTTACTGACTAATTTACTGTAAAAAGTACTCCAACATATTGAATAGGAGATATTGGATATGCATAAAAAATATAATTGTTATATAATTGTGTCCACTAGCTAGTGATTAAACATTACACCAGAGGTTCAAACAGAACACAAACATACATATAGTAACTTAAATAAATTAAAAATATAAAACTTTGCTTTGTAAAAATAACCTTTTACCACCAAATTAATACACATACCCACAATTAATACACGTACCCATTTATTATTGACTTTTGTAGTTCTAAGAAACTCAAAATTAATTTTCACATCTTCCTTAGCAATTGATGATATGCTAGGTAATCGCTGCACAATACTACTTTCACTTTCATTTTCTAAAACAAAAAAATTAAAACTACATCAAATTTATTTTGCTTAATAATGCACTGACAAAAGTTAGAGTATTCTGATAAATTTCAAAACTTTTTGCAGTTTTAAGACTATTGAATCTTTTTTTATTTTTTTGAGAAAAAAAATGATTTAAAAAAAAACATCATAAAATTATATAAAAAAAACATAACTTAAATTAAATTACATTTACAGAACTAGTATCTATTTTTTAATTTTTTAAACTTTTCTCCCTCATTCATATAATATGCAGTTATTATTTTACTTTTTAACCATATTATATTTTCATTATTTACTATTTTAATAGTATTTTTAATTGCTTTTTACCTATTTCATTTTTCTTGTATTTTTAATAGCATTTGCTTGCAGACACTTTATATATCAAAAAATTAATAACTTTAAATGTAGGTAGAGTAGGAACTTTCAAATTAACACCTAGTACTTTTTCTCTAATATTATTATTATTATTATTATTATTATTATTATTATTATTATTATTATTTTTGTAAACAAAATTAACCATTTGTTCATATATCATTGGAAATTATATTTATAAACTAAAGATAATTTTTTCACAAAAACAAGTACTTAAGTAGACAGAAACATATCTTGAATGAATTATATTAAACCTCAAACAAGTAATAAATTATTTTAAAAACTTCTAATATATAAGTCTTACAATTGGCTATATATAAATTTGAAGAATTTAGTCAATCAACAGTCCGATTAGACAATCATGTATACAAATGCAAACAAGTATATTGTTAAAAATATGGAAACATTCTTTAAACTTTTTACTTGTCTTGAAATTAAAAATGAATTAAAAATGTTGTCTTATAAAAATCATTATAAGAAAAAAACAAACTTGAAAATTAGTTATTTCTATACAAACACAGAATAATAGTTAAATGCGTTTAAAATATCACAATTAAATTTCTTTTAGCACTTCTTTTATGTTAAAAAAAAACCTTTAGTGCTAAAAATAAAAATACTTTAGTTTCAAATATCTAAAATCTGTTTCAAATTGAGGGGGGGGGGGTTTAAACTTTGTATAATCATAATTTTATAACACTAAGAGAAAATTGTATAAAATTTAGAATGTATCAATAAATATAAATTTATTTAAGAATTATACAAAAATATTTTAACTTATAACTCTCTTATTTGGAACAGTTGTGGCTAGAAATTTAGGACCAGACTCCAACCATTGCAAATTTTAGCAAGGCATCCTTATTTGACATAAGTATAAACATATACATTTTTGGAGTTTTAAAATTAAATTTAACTACAACATGGAACTTTAAAATACATTCTCAATATCAATAGTTTTCAGACTCCTGTCAGGAAGTTAACTATCTCAAACATCAAAAAATGCTGGATCCGCGCCTATATATATATATATATATATATATATATATATATATATATATATATATATATATATATATATATATATATATATATATATATATATATATATATATATATATATATATATATATATATATATATATATATATATATATATATATATATATATATATATATATATATATATATATATATATATATATATATATATATATATATATATATATATATATATATATATATATATATATATTGATTTAAATAAAAAATAATAGGCATAAATAATAACAATTTAAGGGAAAAAAATCAATCGTTTTATTTCCATTTTATTGGTAATTTAAGCATGGAAATTTTTACTATAGAAATTTTTATATACTTTTTTCAACGATACTTAATGAGTTTAACGTTTTTACAAGGTAAAGACTTGAATAGGTTTGACTTAGATAACGATTTCGTGTACACTTTATTTAATTAGTATCCTATTAAAGCAAAAGTTACTATTTAAAAAACAGAATGTCAGCCTGACATTTTAGAAAATTTAATAATATTTTGATCAGGATATATGAAGTTATTTAGTCAGGATGTTATTCAATATTTTAAAACTAAATGATACCTGATATTTGGCTGTTCTGTTTGAATAAAAATAGAAAAATTGCAACAAGTAGCTGATTATTTAGAAAGTATAATTATTTTTTACCTAGTTATTTTGTCGAAATAACTACTGGAAATTTATTTAGCTTATATGGAATGAGATACCTTCAGAGCCTTCACTGGTTTCCCCATCATTGTGCTCGGTTTGTATCATAGTTAGCACTATTTAACTTTTAAAAATATTTAAGAAATTCATTTATTTGACAAAACGAAACACAACCTTATCTATACTTTTATATGGCTAGGCAGTTGAATCAGCGCAAAATCAACCGGAGGAGAAAAGTATGTAGGAGAAAAGTATGTTTGCTTAAAAATGTGAAGAATGATATACGGCTTATATACATAACAAGTTGCTACGAACTTGGAAAAAGAGCTGTTATAAATAAATAAAAAAAAACATGGTTTTTACCGTGTTCAAATTAAATAACTCTTAAAATTCGCTAATTTTAGGAAAGTTTTTATATTACAAGCGTTTACATTTTTAGATATCTTATTATAAAGGAAATTATTTTTAAAATTATAAATAAAACCATTTAGCCATTTGATTAGAAAAAATCTAAATAAACTTATTAATACAATAATTTGAAAAAAAGTTTAGGATTAGCTCATCAAAAGAAAAGTTAAAAATTACGTACATAATTTTTATTTTTTTCGGTTGAACTTTGTACCAATGATTAAGCACGTGATATTTGTTATTCGACTACCTTATTAAGAAACTCATTGTAAAACGAAATAATTTGATTGGTTAGATGCTTTCACTGAAAAAAAATTTCAAAACATAAACAAGTTGATTTTTTATCAGAAGAAAAAAAAAATATGCAGTAACACATCAATCTTGGTAATAAAACGAAATATCTTGGAAAAAACGAATCAGAAATATTATCTATTCGTTATTTATTTGTAACATTCAGTATTTCTGTACTAAAAAAAAGTTTTAAAGTAAAATTTATACGTAAGTTATTATTCATTCATCCAAATAAAATATCTTTCCACATATTTTTTTTTTCTTTAAAAATTGTGTTTTAGTATATTATTAAACTAATTCAGTTTTTTTTTGATTTTTCATTAAGAACATAATAATAAGGTTTTTTAATATTTTTGTTCAACTAGTCATTGCATTATTATGCTTAAGATAATTTTTTTTTGAAATTATTAGAGCGCAGAAAGCAAGCTGTTTTTTTCTCTCTGTTTTTAGACTCAGTGACAATTTTTCTGTACGTTTACAGCTTTAAAATACGATTATCAAGTTTTACTAAATCTGTATTGTATTATATTACTAAAAAAACCTTCTGGGGCTCGGTGTAACAATGCTCTCTGCTATTTCTTCTTATATATGGGGTTCGAGCGAACAAGCTGAAGAAAAAATGAGCGACGTGAAACCGCCTTGTGAAGGTTTTGAAACATTAGAAAATGATTGGGTTTTTATTAAGCCAAAAGGTAACCTTAAAAATACTATTTAAAATCAATATCTATTTATGAGCAATTAGTGCTTAACTTTTTTTTTATTATTAATGCTATTTTACATTAAATTTACAATTTTAACAAAACGGTTATATAAAAAAAAATATGAATGTTTTAATGTTCTATAATAAAAATAAATATGTATATATAAATATAAAAAATAAATATTTTATTTTAAAAAAGTATTATTATCAACGAATCGACAACAATAAGCCATTGGTAAGTATGAATAGAAACCATCAATATGATGGTTTCCTCGATGTTGCTATGGCTTAAATGAAAACATTTGGAGCGCCTATTCAACCAATAGAGCGCTGCCCTATTAAAATTTAATGTTTTATTTGCTATAGAATGTTTTGTAAATGTGGATTGATTTATTGAATTTATGGATTGACTTGTTAAAACTGAATTTTATCAAACTTTTATTTCTTTTTTTTTTTTTTTTTTTTTTTTTTTATTTCTTTATTAATTTAAACTTATTTTTTCACTTTATAATTTTAAAATTGCGATTTATCAAAAATACAGATTTATTTTATAACAATTATAAGCCCAATTTCAAATTTGTTTCCCCGCCATAAATTTAAAAATATCGCGCCGGCCTTGTGTATATATATATATATATATATATATATATATATATATATATATATATATATATATATATATATATATATATATATAAATTTTCTAAGATTTTTCTATGATTTTTTGCGATATATATATATATATATATATATATATATATATATATATATATATATATATATATATATATATATATATATATATATATTTGCGATATATATATGTATATATATATTTTTTTTTTATGCGATATATATACATATATATATATATTTTTGTAAATTTTTGAAGAAAAAAAATCAAAGTACCTACTTAATTTGTTCTTATAAATTAGCAATGAATTTGAAAATTAAACAAGTCATTATATATATAATATTATTTTAAATTAGTATTTTATAAGTATGTTGGAAATCAAATGAAGCTTAATTATATAAGAATTTAAAATATAATCATCATTTATTAAAAAAAAAAAATTAATGTAGATTTTATTTGAAATAAAATGATACTTTTTAACAAAAAAAAAATTGTAATATGGAGGACCCGTTTAATGTTAAAGCAAACTGTTAAAAAAATTTTAATAATTTTAGGTGTTGTTTTATTGAATAGAAGGTATAAAGGGGCCTAAGCAGATATTTTTTTAAATTTTTACCTATATATATATATATATATATATATATATATATATATATATATATATATATATATATATAATAATTTATTTATTTTTTCTAGATTTTGCTGACAATACAGTAAAGCGGGCTCATTTTAATGAAGATGGGTTATCGACTGCTTCTGAATCTAGTGTAGAAGAAAGTTGGTTAGTGACGCCTCCTCAATGCTTTAATGCAAAGATGGAAATAGATAAGACCTCAAACATGAGCCCTATGGAAAATCTTTTGATTGAACACCCTAGCATGTCTATATATCATGTGAGTGATAAAGAAGACAAAGAGATGAAAGATGTCAAAGAAATTTCTGTTAGCCGACAGAATTGTGATCATCGCGCTGTTGCCGGACGACTTCAATTGCTTGAAAGCAGAACGCCGTTAAAAGATCTTAGCGAGAAAATTTTGAATAAAAAAAGAAATAAAGTAAATAACAACAAACAGAAAAATATGGTTTACATTCGAAGTCGTAGCACTCGTGCCAACAAGCAGTACGGTCGCATGAACGGAAAGCATACGGGAATGGTCGGAAAACGCGCGAGCTAACAACCAATACACTTCTAGCAAAATTTTAAAATACAAAAAAAAAAAAAAACTTTTAAAGAAAAAGAAAAAATATAAATAAAAAGGAATGATATCTTGCATTTGGTTGCTTGTAGGTTTATCGGAAGTTGCATGCAGGTTTTAAATACATAAAATGCATATATGATAATACCTATAATTTCCGATTTTGCAATTTATCTTCTTGTTTCAAAGAAATTAAATTTTCTCTTCATAAAATTCATATATTTATAACAAAAAATGAGGAAATCGATTCATCAATAGATATAATAGTTGATTTATTTTTAAGCGCCATTTTAACCTATTTTTTTGTGTTACTTGGTATATTTGCTTAATAATTTCCCGCTATTTTTTGCTGTCACTTTTTTTCAGTTTTGTAAATATAATTATATTATTTCAACAATGTAGGATTTTTTGTAATTAGCTTAAATATTTACTCATAAATATATTTGTAAATAGGCATGTTTATTTGAATGTTATCATTAAAAATTAGAAACTTTTTCTAATTGGATTGTTGTTGTTGTTGTTTTTAATAAAATTGTTTATTTTTTAATTTGAAAACTGATATTCAACAACGGGGTTGAAATACGTAAAAAAAAAAAAAAAAGAGAGAGAAACATTTAATATTACTTAATATAAGTAAAAATATTCACAAAAATTTATCTCAAAGAAAATTTTTTACTAATGTAAGATTTTTATGGTTTTCACACATTTTTCAAAAATTATTCAGCAATGAACAATAAAGTTATTTTTTTAACTATGTTTGCTGCAGTGTAGAAAATAAAAGAGCCGGAACGGTCGAATAATATATATATAAATATATATATATATATATATATATATATATATATATATATATATATATATATATATATATATATATATATATATATATATATATATATATATATATAAAGTACCGGAATGGCGTACCGGCTCGATATATATATATATATATATATATATATATATATATATATATATATATATATATATATATATATATATACATATATATATATATATATATATGTATATATGTATATATATATATACATATATATATATATATATATATATATATATATATATATATATATATATATATATATATATATAAAGTACCGGAATGGCGTACCGGCTCGATGACATCACTGGTTTGCTGCTTTATTTTTACAAAAAAAAAAAAATGCTTCATTCGAATGAAGCATTTTGATTTTTATACTTTTTAAAATTTTTTAAAATTTTGATTTTTATACTTTCTATAGAATTCTATAGAAAGTATAAAAATCAAAATTTTTAATAGTTTATTAAAATTGATGTTTTTAATAAATCCAATCAGATGAAATAAATTTTTCAGATAACATTAAAATATTTTTTTTTAATTCAATGTACAAGTTATACTAAATGGGAATTTAAAACAGAAAACCTCAAAATAAAAAATATATATCTCAATCTATTTATTCTTTTTCTAAATTATAATCCAAAAGCTTTATCTGATTTTAAAAAAGCTCATCCGCTTTAAAAATAAAGAAAAATTTTACATAAAGTGTACTTTGATTCTAATGTAAAGTTTTAAAAAAAGTTTATAAAAATCTGTGCATTAGCTGTTTAATGAAAGTCAAATATATTATTCTTAGCATCGTCTATAGCAACGAATTAGTTTTTATTTCCCAAAATATCCAATACTCGCTTAAAAGTTTTCAAAGTTCTAATTTTTCAAATTGCTTCCATGTAGGAAGTTTCACATGGCGTTTCTTTGTCATCTCAAATACAATTTGAGAACTCAAATACAATTTGAGAACTTATTGCGTGAGTAATTTTTTTTATAAGTTAAATTTTTTTATAAAGGTTATTTTAGGATTGTTATAAAATCGAGAAATTTTATTAAATATATTCATATATTTTATGATTATTAAACAAATTATGAATGATTAACAATTTCTATTATTTTTACTATTTTTCTACTATTTTTACTATTTTAAGAATTTTCTACTATTTTTAGTGGCAGATATGTATAAAAATGGTTACTGTTATATTTAAAAACAAGATTGATTATGGGAAAAAATTATAAAAACAAGAGGAATTAATAAAATATGCAGTCAAACTTTCAAGTTTCAAAAAAAAAAAAAAAGTTTAATGAAAATCAAAACACAAACAAAAAACAGTGTGTGTTCATGTTATCTGAACGAATAAATTTTATTTCAATTTTATAATGATATTGAAGAAATTGAAATAAACATTAACGTCTGAAGTTGAAGAAGTATATTAGCCTAGACTAAGTTGTTAACTTAGTCTAGGCTAATACACCATGTTGTTCGTCAGCCTTTGAATTATTATTAGGAATTGAATTTTAGACATTATGCATTTTAGTTTCTGCTGCTGGTTGTCCTCAATGTAAACAAAGTTTATGTGAGAGCAATGTGAGAAAAACTAAATGAGAAATTAAAGTATGAATAAATAAATAAATGTACTTCTTTTTAATTAAAGCATTTATTTTGGAAACAAAAAAACTATATTACGAGATTTTGTATCACGAGATACGAAACTTTTATATCACGAGACAAGTTCTTGTCTCGTACTTTATATCACGAGATATATATATGTATATATATATATATATATATATATATATATATATATATATATATATATATATATATATATATATATATATATATATATATATATATATATATATATATGCGTGTGTGTGTGTGTGATATATATATATATATATATATATATATATATATATATATATATATATATATATATATATATATATATATATATATATATATATATATGTATATATATATATATATGTATATATATATGTGTCTCGTACTTTATATTACGAGACAAGTTCTTGTCTCGTGATATAAAAGCACAGACCCAGCCAACCAATATACATGGGTACCGTATGAGATTCGTCCGGTTATTTGGTATGAGATACATAAGGGCATTTTTGGTTGGATCTGTCTGTGACTTAGACCATTAAAACTGATAGACACGGCGTTAGCTATAAAATGATAATCTTTAAAGTGAAGCCGAAAAAAGTTTTGCTTAGTGACGTCAGTTTGTGGCAAAAAAATCATTTTTAGGTCGAGGTTGCTATTGCATTTATCTTATATTTTTTAATTAATCTTAATTAGGGTGTATATAATTGCAAAAAAGATTTAAACCTGGTAAATATAAATTATTTCACGGGTAAGAGTTTGTATTTATTACAATAGTAATTAATAAATAGTCTTAAAGGATTGACATAGTAATTACTATATTTAGTCTTTATAAAAATATATCTCATAAAAATATATTCTATATATTTCAAATAAAAAGAATTTTTCTGAAAAATTGAAATAAAATCTTATTACTAGTTTGTTTTTTCTAGTTTTTTGCCACAAAGTGACGTCACATTCTCTAAAAATTTTTGGCTTCAAAGATTTACGAAAACGCCGTGTCTATCAGTTTTAATGGTCTTAATCATCTGTGACATTAAATATTAATTTCTGGTAATCGTTATTTTACGGATGCGGCATCGTTAGTTTACGGGTACTTATTAAACGTAGCTACGTTAAATAAGTATCCGTAAACTAACGCATGCGCAGAATATCATTTGACACCGTATCGCTATGCGAGAAGCCATTTTTATTTCAAATACTTTTTTTTGTATTTGCCTCGATATTAATTTCTGGTAATCAAAAATGTCACTGACATTTTAGTTTACGGATACTTATTTAACGTAGTATACTACGTTAAATAAGTATCCGTAAATTAACGCATGCGCAGAATATCATTTTATCTACTTATTTAACGGTCGTTTAGATATTAAGCCCGTTCTCCATTCAGAACTTTTTGCGCTTTAGAGAAGCGGAAAAGTTCTTTAAGCATGCGCAAACAGTTTTTTTAAACCCGTTCTCCAATCAGAACTTTTTGCGCATGATCAAAGAACTTTTCCGCTCCTCCAAAGCGTAAAAAGTTCTAAATGGAGAACGGGCTTTAGTCGTTTAGATATTAGTAAAAAGCTCTATGTTTAGATACGCATGCGTAAGAAAATACAAAAAACTTTTGAACTTTTAATGTTAGGCTACGGTTCTTAAACTGCAGAGAATATTTTATATGGCAACAGTTTATTTGTTAATTAATTTCTGAAAAGCCAATTATATAGCCTTATTTAAACGTAAATCAAAAAAATAATACAAAAATTTCAAAAAAATATAAATAAATAGAGGTAACAAAAATCTTTGCGCGCTAAAACTGTATTTTTACTTAATACTTTTTTAGTGTAAATCATAGATTTGTTTATTTATTTGAAATCAATTTTCAAAAAATCTGACTGTAGGATTTCAATTATTTTTTTTTTAACTTTAGATAAATATGTTCTATATGTATGGTATTTTTCTGGTCATTGCCTTAACTTTTTTTCCATATAAAAACTTGTTTTTACTGTTATGACTATTTCCTTATATATCTGACTTATATATATGACTATTTCCTAATATACTGTTATGACAATTTCCTTATATAAGTGCAATTTCATTAATTATTTTGTTATTTACTATTTTTCTGATATATGTATATATATATATATATATATATATATATATATATATACACATATATATACATATACACACATATATATATATACACACACATAAAAAAAAAATTATATAAGTGTATTATGTATAAATTATATCATAATTGTCCTATCATAAGTATTATGTATAAATTATGTCATAATGGGTCTCAAGTAAAGTAAAATTATATGAAAATTTCAAAAAAAATATTGCCAAAAATTGGTAATAATGAACATTTTTCTTTCTTAGTTAATAAAATTCATTTTTATGGTGTTAAATCTAACATATTTTTTAACCTATTTTTTAGGTATAAATATGCAAATATATGCACATTTAAACAGTTTATATATGCAAATATATGCACTAATACAGTTAAAAAAAATACTTGCATCATAACAAGCAGGTCTTTAATCACTTATTTTTTTATATTACTTGCAAAGAACTGTACTGCGAAAAAATATTTGCATTTCAGGTAAAAAAAACTGTTTTTAAAAATTTAAAAAAAAAAAATATTTTGATGACTTCTTCATAACCCTAAGGAACTTGTTATGTTTTATTTATTTAGGAACTTATTATGTTTTATTTGAGTGCATCATTTTGAGTCTTTAATGAAGCAAAATTATATGAAAATTTCAATGTTGGATTTAACACCATAAAAAATAAATTTTATTAACTAAAAAAGAAAAATGTAAATTTTTATCAATTTTTAGCAATATTTTATTCATATTTGAAATTTTCATGATTTCGCTTAATTTGTTCCAAAATGTCAAGATAACGCCGTGTCTATCAGTTTTAATGGTCTAAGTCACAGACAGATCCAACCAAAAATGCCCTTATGTATCTCATACCAAATAACCAGACGAATCTCATACAGTGCCCATGTATATTGGTTGGCTGGGTCTGTGCTTTTATATCACGAGACAAGAACTTGTCTCGTGATATAAAGTACGAGACACATATATATATACATGTCAACACTTATATATATATATATATACATGTCAACACTTATATATATATACATGCCAACACTTTTGAAGATTTTTTTAATTGATAATAATGGGAACTCTTTATATGTTTAAGGGACTCCAAAAATGATTTTTCTTCAAAAAAATTTTAAAACCAGTGTTTTTTTATCATATAAAACACATTAGGAGGTGGAAGCTATATATTTTTTTTAAATATAGCTGCCAAAAATTTAAAAATTTAAAAAAATATCTTAATAATAAATAAGCTGATAGTAATACAGTGCAATAATGGTTCCAATCATATGTTGAATTAAATATTTAAAATTTTTTTTGTTCCAGACATAATGCCATTCCTTTTGAAAAGTTATTTTTATTTTGCCCTTTGCAGTTTTTATATTTAACTGTAAATAAGTAAGTCAGATAAATCAAATCAATATTAGCATAACTAAAAACTAAAATTATTATAAAAAATTTATCCTACAAGTAAAATTGCATAGAGATTATTATTAGATGAAAATATTTTATTATACTTTGTAGTAAAGTTTGTTGAATATTGCAACAAAAAAGTAAAAAATGCAGTAAAAAAGAATACCCTTATGCTAAGACTTTCCCTACTTTTTAAGTATAAATATCCAAATATATGCATTTAAACAGTTTACATATGCAAATATATATACTTATACATTTAAAAAATGCATACTTGAATTATAACAATATATATATATATATATATATATATATATATATATATATATATATATATATATATATATATATATATATATATATATATATATATATACGTACACACTTACATATATGTAAAATGTATATATGTGTATTATTGTAATCATACACACACATATATATATATATATATATATAAATATATATATATATATATATATATATATATATATATATATATACATATATATATATATATATATATATATATATATATATATATATATATATATATATATATATATATATATATATATATATATATATATATATATATATATATATATATATATATATATATATATATATATATATATATATATATATATATATATATATATATATTGGATTTTGCCATATAAAATCCACTCTGTAGTTAAGAACCGTAGCCATTTTAAAAGTTAAAAAATTTTTCGCATTTTCTCACGCATGCGTACCTAAACATAGCGCTTGTAAACGACCGTGAGTAAGTCACGTTAAAGGTTGGTTTCCATATATCTAAAATGGTCGTGCGACAGTACGACCATACGGAAACATAAGTCGTGCGACAAATTTTGTCTTGCAAGATTCGGTCGTGCCATAGATGTCGCAGAGATAGAAATAATTCTATCTCTACGACAATTGTCGCGCGAACTTTAAATATGATTGGTTGGTTATTTTGAAAAAACGGAATATTAAAAAAAAAGATTTTCACGCATCAACATAAAATGGAACCTGAACAAGAAAGACTTATCGAAGAATTTAGCAAAGAATGCAGGAAGTGCAGAAGTATCCTGTGCTTTACGACAAATTCAATGCTGAATTTAAGAACAATATTATGAAAAAAAATGCTTTGGCAGACATTGGCGTTTTGTTTGGTTTAACTGAGCAGGAATGTGAATCAAAACACAAAAATATAAGATCGGCTTATGGACGCTTTTTAAGGAAAAAAAAGAGTATACCTTTGGGCTCAGGACGAATTATCAGTAAAGAGTACGATTTTTTGCAGTGGTTAAATGTTTACATTGACCATAGAGATACAACAACTAATGCTGAAAATAAAGTAACAACCACAGAATTAACAACAGAATCGCCTTTGTCTTGTATAGATAGTAATGATAGTATGAACTATGAAAAAGATGTTAGTAATAAAGTAGAATTAGAAAATGAAAATTTAAGCAAAAATTCAAGTAATTCAAATACATTCAGTAATCAACGAAAAGCATTAAGTGAAAAAAAATCTCCTATAAATATAAGAAAAAAAACATTGAAAAAATCTCTACCTGATGAAAATTCAAAAATACAAGATGCAATAATTAGTACGATGAACAATATTAATGCAACACTAGCAGTTAGTACACATGAAGAAAACGACGATGTAATACATTTTTGTAAATCTATTTGTGCTACAATCAAAAGACTACCTCCTAAAACTCAAGCAGTTGCTAAAATAAACATACAGCAGTATTTAGCTGCTCTAGAATTTCCAGATATTGTTGACTGATATAAAATTTGTTTGTTTGTTTTTTAACATGTATTTAAGAAATTTAATATTCTGTTACACATAGTTTAAACCATTCTTCAATATTATATAATAATACAGTTATAAGATTGTTTTTTTCATTGTTCCAAAAATATTCTATTTCCTGCAAGATCGTGTCCACAACTAGTTACATAGTCATGTTGCCACGACAAGGATCCACTTGGATGATTAAAATACACACGTTTTTCTTACAGTGTTTCAAAATCAACAAATCCAGATAGTACATAGTTAATGCCATCATTGATCCTTAAATAATTATAAAAACAAATTGCAGCTTTTATAATGTTTTCAATATTTTCTGGGTTAGCTTTTATTGGACGCCTAAATACTCTCCATTTAGCTACCATAATTCCAAATGTGTTTTCAATTGTTCGTCTAGTCCTAGATAATTGATAGTTAAAAATACGTTCTTTGATTGCCAAATTTTTACCAGAAAAAGGCTTCATTAACCATGATTTCAGTGCAAAAATATCATCACCAACCAGAACTGGTGGTATTTGTGTGCCATTTGATAGCTTTCGGTTTTTAGGAAGTTTGAATAAGTTGTTTTTGAAAGCTTTACCCATTTTACTTTCATTGAATATTGAAGCATCGTTATCTCTGCCATAGCTACCTATATCAACCAAAGTAAAACCATACTGTGAAAGTTTTTATAGTTGTAATATGCTGATCCACTCAAACTAGGAGCTTCTATACATACTTGTTTACCATCAATGGCTCCAATACAATTAGGAAAGTTCCATTCATTTTCAAATTGGTTTGCCAATTTTTCCCATTCATTTAATGTACTTGGTGCCTTTAAATAACATGGTTTTAATACATTCCAAATAGTCTTTGTTGTTTCATTTATAATGTTGCATACTGTTGTTCTGCCCAGTCTAAAATAAAAAGCTTGTGTTAGTTGTGAATCTCCAGTAGCCAGGTATCTCAGTGTCACAGTCAATCGTTTTGAGGGTGCTATTGTTTGACGGCTTCGACATGGCTTTTTTGTAATGCTAGGGGCAACCATGGACAACAAGTGTTCATACCTTTCAGGTGACATTCTGTAAAAACGATAAAAAAATTCTCTGTCATGAAGTCGTAGCTTAGGAATAAGTGTGTTAAATGCTCCTTTTTCATAACGGTTTTTAAACAAGGAACAAATCCAAAATTTATGTTTTCTTTTTTTTTTACTCTGCAATGTTCTAAAAGCTAGTAAAGTATTGCAAAGTGCAAAATGGCAGTTCAGGAGATCATATTTTTAATTCCTTGCCATTGGTCTAAAATCAATTAAATTTTATTATTAATTTTTTTTTTTTTAATATTTACTTTATTTACTAAACAAAGAAAAAAGTAAGAGAAAAATAGTCCAATTAAAGCGGATGATAAAAATCTTAATACTTTTTTTTTTCAAGTGTTGGGAAACTATTTCTTAACAACAATTAGTTGAAAATAATTTTTATACAGAAATTTTTAAGGTGGTATTTTAAAATAAATTTTGATAAATGCTAAAATTATTGAATTTTTTAAAATTTGATACTTGCGTGTTTTTTGTAGTTTAGATAATTAAAAAAATCTTTAGCTAAAAGCAAATATATCATAAATGGTTCATAGTATTATAATAAATAAATAAAAGAAAAGATGGGAACAATATTTTCTTGGCATCACGGAAATGATAAAAAAATATTTGTTTTGAAAACGCTTCTAAAATTAATGGAAACACCTGGTCGTGCGACAAATATTGAAAATGTTGTTGCGCGACAGTTGTCGCGATTATATGGAAACCAACCTTAAATAAGTAGATCGTTAAATAAGTAGACAAATTGAACAATCAAAGCATTATTTGTTAACCAAGACGAATAAATTAAAAAAAAACATAAGTTAACCGAGCTAAACGCATTTACTTTCTGATGCGAATTGTTATTATTTTACGGCATTTTTAGAGTGATAATTTACCATTTTTAATAATATTTAATTCACGACATATATTCTAGTCGTAATTTGGGGCTATCCATATATCCATATAAAGGACGTCCCCATTTTTTAGCCAATTTTTGACCCCTACCCCCTCCTTCCTTTGTCACCGGTTGTCCTTTTTCCCTATACTCCCCTTGAAAAGGACGTCATAAAATCCTGAACCCCCCTCCCTATTTTTAACTCCAAAAAAATTTATTTCATCTCGCAATGATGTTGGAATCTGCTGCTACACCTTTGAAAATTAAAACTAAAAATATTCTCATACATTATCTTCTTAAAAACACATGTTTACGTAGTTTTCCATGTTAATTAAACTAAAATAAAAAATCTATAAAATGACGTCCTTTTCTGACAACCTCCCCCCCTCCCCTTGTCCTTTTTTTGTCCTTTTGAACTCGACCCCCTCCCCCCTATTTGGATGACGTCCTTTATGAATGGCCCCTTTATACCTTAATAGTATAGTATGACAAGTAACGTCTTTTTAAGAAAGAGATTTTTTTGAGGTCATTAATAATATCAAATAAAATAGTCATCTCACAAGGAAGTTTATTATATTCCTAAATAATTTAACTGTGCATTTTAGCAAAATGTTTTACGTTAAGTTATTTATCTTTATCCCTCAAACCGATCAAATGTAAAATTTGTAAATGCTACTAGATTCTACGCAGATAAATAGTAACAAAAGTATTCTGATGTTATCACAGAAAAAAGAAGAGAATTTATTAATTCGTTTCAAGTCTTTTTTTGTGTGTTAATTTACCTTCTGAAATTTATAAATTAATATAATGAAAGTTTATGCAAAAAAAACATTTTGTATGTTATATACTAGATAAGATACTTGATAAACTGGTAAATATAGCTTTGTTTGCTTGTTTAAAAATAGATGCACAGCAAATTGGTGCATAAATAAAACACTGCTGGGTGAGCGAAAGATACTATGATTCAAAATTAGGTTTTGATTTTTCAAAAAACGAAGACCAGATATATTACTGATTTGGGGAGAAATGTAGGAGAGTGCTGCTTAATTATCTAATTTATGGATAAAATGCTAGGGAATGCTGCTACATTGACTGAGGGTTTGGGTTGGGACAGGTATAGATCAATCGATGTAGCAGCACTCTCTTATATTTCTCCCCAAATCAAAAATATACCTGGTGTTCCTTTTTTTGAAAAATTAAAACCTCATTTTGAGTCATAGTATCTTTCGCTTACCACACTGCTAAAGCTTTAAATCCGGCTGCGACAGAAAATAAGTACATATTGGCCACAAATGTGAATGCAAAGATAAAAGAGCAAAATGTTTCACAGAGTACATTATGTAGTAATTTTCAATTTAGGAATGGAAAAAATGTTAAAGGTTTGCAATGTTAAACAATAATAATAATAATAATAATAATAATAATAATAATAATAATAATAATAATAATAATAATAATAATAATAATATATATATATATATATATATATATATATATATATATATATATATATATATATATATATATATATATATATATATATATGTATTTTTTGTTTTTCTTTTTTTTACAATACTAGCTTTATAATTTACTGCATGTGAAGTAAACATTTTTATAGAAGAGAATGTTCCCAATAAGAAATATGTCCAAAATGATATGATTTTTTTTTATATGTAGTTTTTTGCTGTTTGTTATTGTTAAATTGTTACTGTTAAATTTCATGATAAATTGAAATTATTCTTTAAATTTAATTGAAATCCTTATTTTTACCCTCATTTTTAACTTGTGGTTACACTGGCTGAGCTAAATTTGTGTTCTGTTTTAACCATGCTAAACATAAAATAACAATCGTAATTTATACCTTCAGAGAAAGTCAAAGCAAATGTCTTTTTTAACTGGGTTTGTAAAAATCAGGGAATTTACTTAGTGGCCAGGAGGGAAACAGCTTTTTTTCTTAGAGAATCAGAGTTTAAAAAAACATTTCTATTTTTTTTTTTTTTTTACCTAGGGTTGTAATAAAGTGTAAATGTTTCTAGGATTTCTCAATGAAATCTTGAAATGTCAAATGTTGATTATGTTTAAATTTAATTTTACGTTTTACATATAAACTATTTTATTAACTGTTTAATAACGGGTGTCCACTTGAAATCCGGACTGACTTTAAGTAAATATAAATCTGACATAATGTATTGCAATTGTACCATGTGATACATTATTTTAAAGCGTTTAAATTTAGCTTTAATATACTACTTTTATATTTAGATTGAATGATTATTCAAATTGAAAATGAAACCTAAACAAGACGACACTCGAGAACGTGTGTACAACTTCTATATTGAAAATAAAGAAAAAGGCAAAAAGTACACCGTAGATCATTTTGAAAAAGAAAAAATTGCCAGATCGATCATCTATGATATAATTAAACGTCCTGATGACGATTCTGGATATCTTAGACGTCCTGGTTCAGGAAAAAAAGCTCTAAAAATGACCCAAAAAAAAGTACAAGCGTTAAAATCAATGTTTGATCATCATGATGGCGTTTCTTATAGGAAAGCAGGTAGAAAATTTAGAATAACATGCTTCTTATATATAATTATTTAGACAAAATCAAAGACCAAGAAAAGAAAGAAGAAAAAGATTCCATATCGAATTGATGATCAAAAACTGATGGCAAAAACAAAGTGTGGTAGATTATATCGAGCTTTCAGCAAATTTGATTGGATCATTGATGATGAATCTTATTTTACTCTTTCTCATTCATCAATCAACGGAAACGATAACTTCTACACAAGTGACATAAACCTCTGCCCATCTAGTGTCAAATATTATACAAAGCGAAAGTATGAACCCAAGCTCCTGGTCTGGGTAGCCTTTTCTGTAAAAGGAATGTCAAAAATTCTAATCCGTCAAAGTGGTCTTGCAATCAATCAAAAAATCTACTTAGAAGATTGTATTAAGAAACGTCTTATTCCTTTTATTAAAGAGCATCATCAAGACAGTCAATTCGTATTTTGGCCAGATCTGGTG